TATATATATATTATATATATATAATATAGATATATATATATATATATATATTATTATATATATATATATATATATATATATATATACATAATTGGTCTAGCGTATCGGAAATCCAAGGTTTCAAGTCAGAATGTATTTTATTTAAGTACTCCCCTTTACAATCTTAAACACCTCAGGGCAAGTACCCGGGACCACCCTCGGATGAACCCGAAATTCTTGGTCTAGAATGTGCTGGGCGTATATCTGGGTTACCACCAAATGGATCAAGTCTTGGCTTTCGCGTCGGTGATCGTGTAATGACCCTGCTTAACTGTGGTGGTTATGCCGAGTACGTTTGCCAGGACGAGCGCATGCTGATGCGTGTTTCAGATTCGCTTTCACTGTACAAAGCGGGAGGGATCCCCGAAACTTGGCTTACCAGTTACCAACTGCTCTTCTGGAATGCGACTGTGAAAAAGGTAGGTAGATTTTTCGCTTTCGAACTTTCTGGGTTTGTTTCATGTGCGTATTTATTATAATGGATCACGTTCTATGTGTTCTTATGGTTATGGGGTTACACCATGACAACGGCTATCTGCAGTTGGATTGCTTTCCTGTTGGTTGTCGTGGTTCTTGAGCATGGACATTAGATCGCACGACCTTAGCGCTTTGTACTGCTGGAGATACTTGTACGATTGCATTAATGTCTAGAATGAATCTCTGAAGTATACCAAAGGTCTACCTATTATCTCAAGCCTCGGTGGAAGGGCTCTATACCATCAAGTGTGTACCCGTCCAAGGCCATTCGCAACATACTTGAAAGGGATCGTCATAGATTACTAATATCTTCCTTCGTAACACTCATCCATGCATTGCAGGGCGACCAAGTACTCGTACACGCCGCGGCTAGTGGTATCGGCACCACAGCCGTACAGCTGTGTCTAGGTGTGGGGGCTGTGCCCTACGCAACTGCAAGTTCTTTAGAAAAGCTGCACACCGTAGCCGCGCTGGGCGTAGATGGAGAACACTGCTTCAGCCGAAAGGGAGATAAACCCTGGGACGAGTGTTTGATGGAGGTGTTAAAGGCGCACAATAAGAGTGGAATAGACACCGTGCTTGACCCTGTAGGAGGCTCGTATGCTGTGCAGAATGCCAAAGTTCTTGGGTTGGACTCGTCTTGGGTTTTGTTTGGATTGATGGGAGGAGTTGCGATGGACTTTGAGGGTGCGGGCAGTCCTCCTTTCTTGGCCACTATACTGAGAAAGCGTATCAGGCTTATGGGTACCACTCTCAAGACTCGGTCACTGGATTACAAGATCAAGCTCACACAAGATTTGGTAGAACACTGCTCTGACAAGTGGGCCGATGGGACCTACAAGCCCTTCTGCGACGATAGGCAGTTCAAGTTGGAAGATGCACAAGAAGCACACGAGTACATGGAAGCCAATCTAAACGTGGGCAAACTCATCATTGTTGTGAGAGAGGATGCCGACGAACGAGCCTTGCTGTGTGGGGGAACGCCTAAGGTTTAGCTTGAGATAATTATGTAAAGCTCAATCTGTAGTTGTATCAGGTGCAATGGTGTACTGCTCAATTCATACGCATATATAAATCAATATGCACAATATGTTTATTACCAATGCACACAATCCCTAAGCGAGCGCCGGAGGTCATTGAGATCTTCTGTACCAAATATTATTTGTAATGAATTGCTCGAGGTGTTTTGTCCCTAGAGTGCAATCACTGGATGTTTGTTGTAGATGGTCTCGTGCTCAGCATAACGTGCTGGGAATAACGCGCATCGTATAGATACACTTTATGTACTTTTTAAATAATCCTCATTCTATCCAAGAAAATGCACACATGCAGTTATATGGCTCAGTGCGAGCACATCTGAAAGGTTTATTCGGCGGTTTCTGAGGGCAACAAATAGATAGCTTCGTATTTTTTAATTTAAAAAATACTCAATAATGTAAAGCAAAATCTCAAGGTGTTTCATTTAGTAAGCTATGCTATGCTCAAGCATAACTTCAAAACTGAAATCTAGGCTCACAGTAGAAACTCGAAGTACCGAATGTTCTTTACTACTGCCTGTATCTTAAATATTAAACTCAAAACCAAAAAATGCACTCCAGGAGTCCAGTATGATTTCTCGTTTCATAATTGTTGAGAAATCCAGACTTCCTATGTAGCTATAAATTAAAATACATATTATCTATAAGGAAGTTCTTGAGACGAAGATTTTATAGCTAGAAGACCGCCTTCTTCCGGATCAGTAAGTTATAAAAATATAGCAGACGCTGACGTTAATTATGAACGGGTAATACTCTCGCGAGCGGCACTGGTATGAAACAAACACATAGTCGGGAACTTTCAGCTGCGGTTAACCAAGAAGAATGCCTTCAAATGGATGCATATTACTCAAGCCGGACATAAATGTTTGCGTCCGTCATAGTCAGAAGTCTCAGTCATAGACTCATAGCCTGGGAGTGGGGAAAAAATGAGTAATGACTCATCAATCATTGATGAATAATGATTGAGTCAATTGTTTTTGTTGCTGTTAAAAATTTTCATCATCATTCGTCGGTATACAAAACAAATACTCTCCATATTTTACTATTATTGTGTAAATAACAAAATATGTTCAATGCTTTCTGTATGGTTTTTGTATTTGTTTTTGATATTGTGGTTTTATAATATTTCGTATGCTGAACTAATATTTATCAATGGCTTGGTCAAGTGAAGTGGCAGCTTGACATGAAACATAATCGTCCTGTTTACAGCTTTACACCCAGTTGGAGGTCTGACAAATAGTTGATTGGAGTGTTATTAAAGGGCACGAACACTCGCTACAATCAATACTTCGTACATAACAATAACACTACAGGTATCTAAAGCAATCTCACATATCATCTCCTCAATAGAAAATGACGAATACTTCAGACCCCAAACGCGTTGAAGTTGATGGTCGCACCAATATCGTAAGAAATAATCCACAGGCACGAGTGAATGGATCATCACCTCCTGCATCAGGTATTAACCGTTTTAGTATATTGTCTGTCGGTTTGTGATGGCACACGCGTTCTCCCGAGGGTGGCGCATTGGTACGTTCTGTATGTGCTCTTTGATGCCTTGGAGCGTAATGACTAACAATTTGACACAGCTATCAGTGTCGTTACATATTGCAGAATCGTAGAAAGATGGGGTAATTTTCTTAAAACTGACTATTGTGTGATGAAGAATTCAAGTCAAAATACGAAACTTTATGAATGGAAGAATATCTTCGGGTCTATTCTAATAGGTTTACTGCTTACTCTATACTATTCAACGTAGATAAAATCAATCACAGTGGAAATGTCAAGCGTGGTTATGTAAACACGACGGGCTCCGTCATGACGAGCGCTGATTCTTCATAAGTATCTTAATACAAAATATACTCTGGAGATTTACTCTGGAGTATAGACGCAAAATGTTCGATTGCGATATTCCCGCATTAGTTTCGACAAATGGATGGACAATGGATGCGTCATTGGATTCCATGAAGTAAGGAATTGTATCCTTTCGTATTTTCGAGGTCGTCGCGATGCCATTCATATCGTGAAGAAATGTCACTACTTCGGACTATGTAACGATAAAACATCCAGCGAATGTACACATTGAATGGTTGCAAAATAAATCAACACGCCTTTCAGCAAACACTCCAGATTTTGTTGTAATGGTGTTGCCCGAGTACAAGTTTAATTTTGCGTGGCCTATGATTAATATTGTTTAATGGGAAACATATGCGTCCCCGTATCTTTGTACTTTTTGTATATGTCTTTTCAAGACAATGATCTTTGAAGATGGTTGGACGCGCATGATACAAAATAACTTCGAGAAGACACTTGATCCTTATGTACATTCTGGAGTCAAGCCAAGACTCTATGTACATTCTGAGAGTCGCATATATTCTTACTTTAAATGAGACATGAAATTTTTTATTCTCACGCATATACAAGTCTGGTTACATTGATCGCAGAGATACAAGCCATTCAAAACTACTAGGTTTAAAATCACTAACACTCCTTTTTACAAACTCGAAAACTGCCTTGATCGTATCGCCCTTAGTGAATACACAATGAAAGTTATGCGTCTGAATTCAGACTGGTAGTATGCACACACACACGCACACACATACATACATATATATATATATATATATATATGTATATATAT